TTATTATACACAGTCTATTGATGATTAGACTTTTAATGTTTTTAAGCTCAAAAAATGATGATCGTATTATACTTGAGATTGTATTATACATGAATAAATACAGTATCTCAAATCTATTGAAACTGAGAGTGCATCTGAAGTGTCCGAGTTTGTGTGTGAAACGTCCTCTACCTGCCACGGTTGAGCATTTAAAACACCCACAGTGCAGCATCCTCCTACCTGCATGACATATGTTTATACACATTTCAGTTCAGAAGAAATCTTACTCACCCCAGCCGCAAAGCCTAAGCTTCCATCCAAGATTYGCTTCTGGAAAAGGCAGACAAGAGGAGAGAATGTGTACAGGTCAAGAAAAATCGATAAGTTGAAACCGTGACAGCATAAAAGCAAACAMCCAGTTAACCCCTTTCCCCTGACTTATCTGACAAAACTGCTAAATGTCTCAAAAGTCTGAGGTAAAGCTGGACAAAAGAACAGTTTTAGCAGCACTGCCATTCTGGGCTGAAACAGTCGATAGAAAGTTTTTTTTTAACAAGTGCTATAACACAAATCAGTTGCTTGTGACAGTTACTAAAGCCTTCAGGCAGCTGAAACTATAAAAGAAAAATGTACTCCTAAGCTGCATTTATAAGCTGCATTCATATAAATATAAATCCTTTTCTGATGTAGAGTAGAATTAGAAGAACAAAAATATGCCTAAAACCCGAAAGAAATTTTTTTGCACACAACATTCWACACACATTGACAAAGCAAAAACAAGGGACTGTAGTAGTTTTTTCAGAAGGCATTAGATCCCCTTTCTTTTTTTGCAATTTTGTTGCAGCCCGATGCTACAAAAATGTTGAATACCAGTTATTATGCAATTATTTTAAATTTATTGAAAAGAAAAGCTGAAAAATCTAATTTCCAGGAGCATTCAGATACTTCATTTWGTATTATGTTGAAGCATTTTGGGCAGTAGTTCCAGCCTCGAGTCTTCCWAGGTTTGATTCAACAACAGGGGTCAGCATAAGCGTTATTTAAGTTGTCCAAGTCAACCTACTTTCRTTTCAGACAAGCAGATTCCACCTCTTGGTTGTCCAWTGGACAACCAAGACAAACAAATATAACTAGATAACGCATAGCGGTAACTTAATGACCCCCGCATGCAGAAATGCACTGGAACACAGAAGTCTTCATTCCTAATAAATGTC